GTGCAGCAGGTGGGTGTGCAGGTTGCCCAGCACGTCGCGGTGCACGCGGGAGCCGTAGCGCAGGCCCTGCGGCGTGTAGAAGGTGGCGTGGATGTAGCCGGTGGCGTGCACCTTGGCCTCCAGCACGCCGTTGGGGTAGAGCAGCACGTCCCAGATGTAGTCGTAGTTGTAGACGGTGGCCGTGGTGCGCAGCACCAGCGCCTGCCCCTCCAGCCCCCCGTAGAAGCGGTAGCCGCCCCGGAAGTCGCTGTCGAAGTGGCGCCGCAGGGGCACGCCCGTGGGCAGCTCGAAGAGGCAGAGGGCGCGGCGGTAGCGCACCGGCCCCGCCGCGTCGTACAGGTGATGCGCGTCCAGGTAGGTGGCCACCTCGGGGCAGTCGATGCCGGGCGCCAGCTCGTAGGCCAGGGTGCCCATGCCCCAGGCGGTGTCGATGTACTTGGTCTGCATGGCGGCCGGCGTGCTGCCCCCGTAGAAGGCCACAGCCTCCTGCACGCTCAGCTCGTGGGCCAGCCGCTCGCCGTTGAAGCGCAGGTCGAAGAGCTGCATGCCGCCGGAGGAGCGCAGCCGCAGGGCAAGGCGCCAGCCCCCATACTCCACCAGGTTGCCCTGCAGCCGGTAGCGCTTGCCCTGCGGCTCGCACACCTTGGCCCCGTGCACGTCCGTGGGGGTGCCGGTGCCGAAGTGGCCGCGGGGCACGTAGGTGGAGAAGAGCAGCTCGGGCGTGGGCGGGCGGGCCAGGGCCAGCTCCCCACGCTCGTAGCGCCAGGCCAGCTCCTGGGCGCTGGCGAAGTACTGCCCGTTGTACCAGAGCTGCTGCAGGGCCCAGCGCCGGGGGTCGCGGGAGCGGTGGTCCAGCAGCAGCTCCAGCCCCACGGGGTGCAGGAAGTGCCCCTCCACCAAGCGCTGGAGGATGAGCCAGGAGCGGCGCTCGCCGGGGCCCAGCCCGCGCGGCGCCACGTCCGAGAAGGTCAGGCAGCGCCGGCTGCAGTTGTGGTACCAGAAGCCGGTGGTGTCACGCAGCAGCCGGTACAGCGGCTCCGTCAGCTCCACCAGCCTGCGGTGCATCAGCTCGTATTCCAGCAGCGTGACGGGCCGCGCGGCGAAGGGGATGGGCCGCCCGCCCTTGTAGCTCACGGCCCGGTAGTAGCTGGGCCGGGGCAGGGGCCCCACCACGAACTCGGTGACGTTGGGCTGGGCCTGCTCCCCGAAGAAGACGATGGCGCGGGCCAGGCGTGGTGGGCGGGGGCTGCCCCCGTCCAGGAACTGCAGGGCCTGGCTCTTCCGGGGCACCTGCAGTTCCACCAGGAAGAGGCTGTTGCTGGCCAGCGAGTCCCCGTGGTCGGCCACCAGCCCCAGCTCCGGCCGGCTCAGCAGGAAGCTCCGCACCGCCCGCAGCTCCGCCGGGCTCAGGTCGGCAAAGATCGACGCCCCCAGCTGGGGCGCGGGGCTGGCGCTGGCCAGGACGCCGAGTGCCGCCACCACCCACGCGAGGGTCTCTAGCCACATCCTTCCGCTGGGAACCTGGGCACCAAGAGGGGCTGGTCAGAGCGGGGCAGGAGCCGGGCCCAGTCTGGTCCCACCGCCCCTGGCCAGCCCAAGCTGCAGCACCCCACACGGGTCGCACTGGGCTTGGCACACCCAGCTGGGGGCTCCGTGCCCGCCTCAGCAATCCTGGGCTCAGCCCCCGCAAGGGGCCGGGCCATTGGCTCTGCAGGGGGAACTGCTGGGGGCAGCTTCCATGGGCAGGCAGCACCACAGGGCCAGCCACGGGGCAGACAGCCCGGGCGACCCGCACTGCACCCCATGCCAGGAGCTGGGGAAGACAGTGTGGGCCCTGCCCTACCCCTCAGGGCCCCGGGCAGGCCCAGCTCCTCAGCTGGTCACCCTCCCGGGCATGTGCCAGGGCACCTTCCCCCGCTCCCTCCAGCCCAGTCTGCTCTGCCGGTCCCTGCTCACGCTGCAGCGTCTGCAGGGGACACGGGGAAGCCGGGCCTTGGCTGCCAGCCCGGGAACGCCGCGGTTCCTGGGGGGGCAGAAGAGGGGGAGCTGTACGGTGACCGAAGGGGCAGGATGGTCTAGTTATTATGTAGAATCACAGAGTCGTAGGATTGGAATGGACATCGACAGGTCCCTGGTCCGGCCTCCTGCACTCACGCCAGGGCTAAGTATTATCCAGACCATCCCTGACAGGGATTTGTCCAACCTGCTCTTAAACATCCCCAGTGACGGAGACTCCACAACCTTCCCCCGGCAATTTATTCCAGTGCTTAACCACCCTGACAGGTAGGAGGTTTTTCCTAATGTCCAACCTAAACCTCCCTTGCTGCAATTTAAGCCCATTGCTTCTTGTCCTGTCCTCAGGGGTTAAGAACAACCATTTTTCTCCCTCCTCCTTGTAACAACCTTTTATGTGCTTGAAAACTGTTCTCATGTCCCCTCTCAGTCTTCTCTTCTCCAGACCAAACAGACCCAGTTTTTTCAATCTTCCCTCATAGGTCATGTTTTCTAGACCTTTCATCAGTTCTGTTACCCTTCTCTGGACTTTCTCCAATTTCCTGAACTGTGGCACCCAGAACTGGACACAATACTCCAGCTGAGGCCTAATCAGCGCGGAGCAGAGCGGAAGAATTACTCCTCGTGTCTTGCTTATAACACTCCTGCTAATACAGCCCAGAATGATGGTTGCTTTTTTTGCAACAGCGTTCCACTGTTGACTCATATTTAGCTTGTGAGCCACTATGACCCCCAGATCCCTTTCCGCAGGACTCCTTCCTAGGCCGTCATTTCCCATTTGTACGTGTGCAACTGATGGCTCCTTCCTAAGTGGAGCACTTTGCATTTGTCCTTCTTGAATTTCATCCTATTGACTTCAGACCATTTCTCCAGTTTGTCCAGAGCCGTTTGAATTTTAAGCCTGTCCTGCAAAACACTGGCATGTCCCCGTGTCTAAGTGCCGGGCACGGGACTGGTTGACCTACGGAGGGTCCCTTTCAGTGCACACGTCTGCAATTCTGTGCACCCTGCCAGGCCCTGCCCAGATACTTGCTGTCAGGATTAGCCACATAGTGCGGCCCGGGCTCGCTGGCAGTACAGCAGGCAACCAAGAGGAGCCCAGGGCTGGGCTAGCAGGGGCTGCGGGTCGGGAGTGAGGGGCACCGGCAGAGCTTGGGGCTGCATGGGGCAGTTGTGCCCAGAACCCTGCAGGGGGCTGGGCAGCAGGGCTCCCCTGCCCCCCAGCTGGCTCCCCACAGCCTCCAGACTGGCCTCTCTGGGGCTGCTGGCAGCACTAGCCAGCCCCTGCCCCTGCCCCGACTCAGCCCTGAGACTCCCCATGTGGCCAGTGCCAGGGGCACTGGCAGGTAAATGCCCGGAGCTGCCTGGCCTGGGGGCACCTGCTGGGGGACCCTCTGCCCTCTGCCTGCCCCTTCTGGGCTCCAGCCCCCCAGCCAGTGCAGCTCCCCCATGTCCCTCCCATCAACCTCGATGCATCCCCAGCCCGTGGGCATCTTGTACCCTGTGCACCCCCAATCTCCCCCCATGCACCCCCATCTCACCCCCCCGTGCACCCCCATCTCACCCCCCTGTGCACCCCTCATCTCCCCCATGCACCCCATCTCCCCCCGTGAACTCCCCATATCACCCCCTCATGTACCCCCCCATATCACCGCCCCGGCACCCCCCAGCCCAGCCGGTGTCGCTCACCTGCAGCCCCTGCTCCGCTCTGGCTCTGTGGCTGCAGCACCGGCTCTGCCCCATGCCCCGCTCCGCCCACCGCCCCCCCCCCAAGCGGGGCCGAGGGATGCCATTGGCTGGCTTGAGGGGGGGGGTGCGGCAGCTCCTGGCCCAGGGCCTAAGCTGGACGGGGGGTCCAGACCCCCCCAAGGGGAGAGGAGATGACGATGGTCTCAGAGACAGCGGGTGTGGAGGGTTGGGAAATACCCACCCAGGGCTTCTGAGAGCCCCCCCGGCCCCCAAACCCCACGCCTCTGCCATGGCCTGGCACGCTGCGCCCTGCCACGGCCTCTCACACCCTGCCCCAGCCCGGCACGCTGCACCCCGCCACGCCCTCTCGCGCCCTGCCCCGGCCTGGCACGCTGCGCCCTGCCCCGGCCCGGCACGCTGCACCCCGCCACGCCCTCTCGCACCCTGCCCCGGCCTGGCACGCTGCGCCCTGCCCCGACCTGGCACGCCGCGCCCCCCCACGCCCTCTCGCACCCTGCCCCGGCCTGGCAGCTGCACCCTGCCCCGGCCTGGCACGCTGCGCCCCGCCACGCCCTCTCGCACCCTGCCTGCGCTGCTCTTGGGGGTGGAGGGTCTCTGCTGGGCGTCCTGACCACCAGAGCCTGCGCCGGGGCTTCACCGAGGGCGAGATCGGCCCAGGTGCTGGCAAACACAGCAGAGCAAACAGCCCGGGGGCACCAGGGCTGCCCTGGGGAGGGGCTGGGCCGAGCGCACCAGCTCTGTGCGTCAGAGCCACCCTGCCCCCCGGCTCCGAGGGGTCTATGCTGGCGAGTTCATGGGGGCTCCGTCACTCAGCCCTGGCGCCAGCCCTGACCCCAGCCGCGGGCCCCCCGGACAAGAGCCACTATCCCCGGGCCCCGCAGCCAGCGCCCCCCAGGGTCTCCATTGCCCACTGTACGGTGGGGGCTCCGGCGGAAGGGCACCGGCCCCTGCCAGGGAGGCCAGCGGGCACCACAGGCCCTGTCCAGCCCCCACGGCCAAGCCCCCTTCAGGCAGCGCCCCGGGCGATGGGCACCCGCAGGGGTCACTCCCTCTCCCCCGCCCGGGTTAATGGGTAACCCGCTGGAGCCAGGTGATGACGCGGGCCCTGTGCTGGGATCGGCGAGTCCTGTCCCCCGGGAGCTCTGGCCCCATGGCCGTTGTCCTCACCCCATGGGGCCAGTGATAAGCTGGGCCCTGCTAGCAATTGGCTGCCCCAGCTGCTCTGACCCCGCGATCAAACTCCAGGGCCACCCAGTGCCGCTGGGAACAGGCCCAGAGCCGCCAGGATGGCTGGCCAGAGGGGCCACTCCTGCCTGGGGCCTGGGCTCATGCCAGCCCCGGCCCCCCCTCAGGCGATACCAGCACGAAACGCCTTCCCCTGCCCCCATCCAGAGCCTGGGTTCTGCTCCCCCTGCCCCAGGGCACAGCCCTTGTGACCCCGCGGGCAAGGCAACCTGGTGCCCGGGTCACTGTGTCCCCTGGCCAGGGAGCCTGGCCTGGTGGCTCTGGACGTCGGGCGCCAGGTCTGCCCCACGCCAGGTGTTTGCTGGGTGGCCGCTGGGCGCCTGCCCTGGCTTTCCAGAGTTCCTTGCAGCAACCTGGGTTTTGCCACCTGGCTTTGGCCGCGCTGCCCCCTGGGGGCTTAGAGGGGGCGGGAGGTACCGAGCTGCCTGGCCTGGCCCCGCTGAGCAGAGGGGCATGTTCTGGTTGCCTGTAGCAGGCTTGCAAGCCTGGTGCCACCCGGACGGGGCTGCAGGCAGCACCATCACCCCTTGAGCCTGCCAGACACTCTCCACTGCCCCCCAGCAGCTGCTCGGGGTGACCCTGAGCTGGCTCCGGCCTGCGCCCCTGGCCAGGTAGGGACGCATGAGCCAGAGCAAGAGAGGGTAGCTGGGGTCCCCCAAATACCAGGGGCCCCAAGAGCCCCTGATTCCTGTGTTGCTTGGAGGGACGAAGGCCCCTGCTCATCCCCACAGGTGAGTCCTGAGCTGCACCCTGCCAGCAACGCCCGCGCTGGGGTTAAACCCTGCCTGGGTGCCCAAGGGCCGTGCCCGTCACAGCTGACAGGCACCTCTCCTGGAGCGGGCACTAATGGGCACACACCTGGCGTCGCCCCTAATGCACCGGGGCAGCCCAGTCTCAAAGCCAGCCAGTCTTGTGGGACCATTGTCTGTGCCCACCACCCCTGGGTGCCCCGCAGTCCTGATGGACTCACAAGCGGCCGTGCCCAGCTGACTGCCTGGCACCCACCTGGTCAGCCCTGGCACGGTACCAGTGTGGGGCAGCCAGCGTCCCGGGAGCCCCGGTGACCTACTCCGGAACCGCAAAGCCTCCCTCCTGCACGTGCTCCGGCCCCACGCTGCTCCCGGCTGCTCTGCTGCCTCCTGCTGGCGCTCTGGAGTGCCTGGGTGCCGCGGTGAGCCCAGCCGTGGGCGCTTTGGCCAGTCCGCAGGGGGACCTGCAGCGGTGGTGCCAGGCCTGTCCCTGAGAGCCGCCGCACCCTTCGAAAGGGCAGACATAGCCCCTGGCGCCAGGGTGGGCACGAGCAGGGGAAGCTCCTTCGGTGCCGGTCCATGAGCGGGGAGCAGCGCCCGGGGTAGGAACGCTTCGCACCCGGCAGACTAGTTCTCCCACAATGCACGAAGCCCGAGAGTGTCTCCAGCTAGCGAGGGGCGCAGTCGGGAGCGGGGTGGAGGGGGGGACTGACCTGGGAATGTGTCTAGTTTTATTGGGGCTGTCTGCATGGAGGATGGGAGAGCAGAGGGTGACTTTAGGTGAGGGACGGTACCTGAGCCTGTAACCTGAGCCAGGAGAGGGGTTGGGCCAGGCGACACCTTTGCCCAAGAAACTGGACAAAGGCTGGAGGAGGAGCCGGGGGAGGCTGGGGGAGTCGGCTGGAGGGGGTTTCAGTTTGGAGTGGGCTGGGGAAGAGGCGGGAGCCCCCAAGTTTGGGGTTTAATCTCCCTGCCCACCCAGAAGGACCTGGCTGGGGGGTCCTGGTTGTACCTACACGCTCTGGTTTGGGCTGTTCCTCTAGTCTAATAAACCTTCTGGTCTACGACTGGCTGAGAGTCACAGGGAATCGCAGGAAGTGGGAGGGTGCAGGGCCCTGACTCCCCCTCACTCCGTGACAGGTGGTAACGAGTCCGACCCTGGCAGGCAGCACTGACTCCAGGAAAGGTTTTGATACTATCCCAAGTGAGCTTCTCGGAAACAAAGGCGGGAGATACAGCCTGGGCAACCACTGCAAAGGAGGTGCAGAATTGGCTGGAAAACTGTTCCCAGAGAGTCGTTATCAGTGATTCACAGTCAGGCTGGAAGGGCAGAACGAGTGGGGTCCCACAGGGATCGGTTCTGGGGCCGGTTCTGTTCAATATCTTCATCAATGATTTCAATAATGGCATAGAGAGGGCACTTGTAAAGTGTGCGGACGATACCAAGCTGGGAGGGATTGCAAGTGCTTTGGAGGATAGGATTAAAATTCAAACGGCTCTGGACAAACTGGAGAAATGGTCTGAAGTCAATAGGATGAAATTCAATCAGGACAAATGCAAAGTGCTCCCCTTAGGAAGGAGCCATCAGTTGCACACATACAAATGGGAAATGACGGCCTAGGAAGGAGTCCTGCGGAAAGGGATCTGGGGGTCATAGTGGCTCACAAGCTAAATATGAGTCAACAGTGTAACGCTGTTGCAAAAAAAGCAACCATCATTCTGGGCTGTATTAGCAGGAGTGTTGGAAGCAAGACACGAGAAGTTAGTCTTCCGCTCTGCTCCGCGCTGATTAGGCTTCAACTGGAGTATTGTGTCCAGTTCTGGGCGCCACATGTCAGGAAAGATGTGGAAAGTCCAAAGAGCCACAAAATTGATGAAAGGTCTAGAAAACATGACCTATGAGGGAAGATTGAAAAAACTGAGCCTGTTTGGTCTGGAGCAGAGAAGACTGAGAGGGGCCATGAGAACAGTTTTCAAGTACATAAAAGGAGGAGGGAGAAAAAATTTTCTTCTTAACCTCTGAGGACAGGACAAGAAGCGATGGGCTTAAATTGCAGCAAGGGAGGTTTAGGTTGGACATTAGGAAAAACCTCCTAACTGTCAGTGTGGTTAAGCACTGGAATAAATTGCCGGGGGAGGTTGTGGAGTCTCCGTCACGGGGGATGTTTAAGAGCAGGTTGGACAAACCCCTGTCAGGGATGGTCTGGATAATACTTGGCCCTGCCGTGAGTGCAGGGGACTGTGACAGAACACACCCCTGTGTTCACACCCTACACACTACTGTAATAATCTTTGCACAAGGCATGTTTTGTAGGGCAGCATTTGAAAACTCATAATTTGCTGGTCAGTATCGCCTGGTAAAATGTGTGGCATTGGCAACACCTAAGGTGAAGTGTTGAGTCCCTTGTGTGATACATTAACACGCTCCAAACCCCAGAGCCCCAGGAATGCGTGCTTGCCTTGATTTGCATTTGAGCAGTGAACAGAGTCCTCGAGCAGGAAGGGGAGACAAAGGAAGCCCAAACAGGGGGGAAAATCTGGCAGGGAACATCCGTCCACACAGACTTTGTCTCCTGGTGCCCAGCTGGCGCGGGGGAGGGGGAGGGACAGACACCCCAAGGCCCCCGTCTCTCCCTGCCCATTGCATTCACTGCACCCGAGGAGGCCAAAGGAAGCAGCCACTGGACTCTGGGGAGGGTCGTGATCTGCAAAGTTTGGCCGGCAATCTGCCGGAGCATGTGGTGAGACCCTTTGTTTGAATCGGATCTGGTTGGTGAAGTTGGGCACCGGTAACCGGCTTGTCTTTATTGTCCTTGTAACCATTTCTGACTCGCATGCCTCAGGGCTTGGACTCACTTGAAATCTCTTTGTAGGTAATACACTTGTTCTAGTGCTGTAGCTAATCCAGGGTATTTGAACTGAAGTGTCGTAATAGCTATTTGAGATCAGAAACTGGTGTGACAGGAGAATGAATTATATTGTAAAAATAAGAATGGATTAAAGAAATGCTGTATGTACCTTTAAGCAGAGATAAATGCTGAAATACAGGTGTCAGGAAAAGAAAAATTAAGGCATAAACAATGAGCCCACTTAAGCTAATGGTGAACCATTAGCTGGAGATTGGTAAAGGTTAGTAAGGAAATTAACTATGCATGTCTAGCCCAGGTAAACTTATCAGATTCTGCTTCCTTTGTTTTCTTGTTCGCGCCCTTTTATCTGTACAAATAAGATAGTTTGTGTCTTGCATGGTGCTCACATTATCTGAGTGTTATTAGCAGAGCGCTGTGCTAATAAAACAGAGTGGTCTGACAAACTGTGAGTCCT